CTGTCACCATTCCCAGATTTCAGGCACACAGGGGAGTCCCAGGAGCTGCAGATCAGCCAGCACATCCCAGCAGAATACAGAAAACAGTGCCCGAGGCTGGAGGATCTAGTAGGCTCCACAATGGCTCCACCCCTCCCGCTGGCAAGCACCCTGAGTGATGAGTGATGGTTTTTATATCCTGAGTGCAGGACAAAGTCACTCTGCCTCCCCACTCAGCGAGGAAGAACATAACAAGGTCAGGCCATGACCTGTGAAATCTCCACCCACCTCAAGCCTCATGGGTCATGGTTAGACCTAGAGGAAAGGAGAAATTCAAGGAGGGAGAACCAAGGTTTGCATGCTCTTCCAGTACTGCTTTAGTCCCAATTGGCCTGTGGCTCTAGAGCCGACTGGAACTCACAGGAGCAGAGAGCCACGACTCGGGTAACCCCTGAGGGACAGAGCCACCACCTCCCTGAGTGTCACTGCCTCATCTGCTCCAGCGACCTCCGGAGGCTCTAGAGCAGTCATGGACAGGGAGCTGTTTCCCCTAACAACAGCCCCTCCCAAGAGGACACTCCAAAGTGGGGAGGAGGGCTGCTTGGTCCTCACATGAGGGGCCATACCCTAAAGGGCCTCACACCTTGAGAAGGGCCACTCACCTCTTTGGCAAGCTTTAGTGCCTGGTCATAGAAGTTGGTTTCCATCAGTCCGAAAGCATAGATGCCTTTCACGTAGCTGAAAACAGAGAAAAAGAGTTCAGTTCCCAGGAAGCCAAACAGGAACAGGTGGGATGGAGTCCCCCAGCAGGAGGGGCTGGAGTCCACACACCCAGGGCTTGCATGTGACTGTGTTTGGACACAGGGGCTTCACAGAAGGAACTGAGGTGAGATGTGGTGGGTGGCAATCTGATCGCTGTTGTCCTCTTTGTAAGACGGCCATGTGGAGATGGTGGTGTCAACCAAGAAAGGACTTACCTACACCCTGATTCTGCTCAGGACCTCAGCAAGGGGCAGCACTAAAAGACTGACTCATGCCGTCAACCCAGAGAGGAGCTGAGCTCAGGAGTCCTCCTTTTGAACTTCCTTTAGTACAAGACAAAGTGAAATTCAACCTGATGGTGATTTCCCAGAATCCTGTGCTGACCACATGGCTCACCCACTCCTCAGCAAGATCCACTTCCTCAGGCATCAATGCAGAGTCTCTCCACAGAGGATGACAGGGTCTAGAGGCACTTCCCAGAGGAGCCTGGCACTATGGGTAACACCACTCAGTCTTCTGTTGCAGCGTCCTGCACCCAGCCTGTGAGCACCCACTGACCAGCCTGCCAATCCCCAGAACTGATCCCAGTGCCCTGTTTGTCCAGCTCACCCTCCATTCTGGCCCACATACTTGCATTTCTCATCAGTCACCCAGGCACTGAGCCCCAAGATGGTTGGTCACAGGTGACCAAGGGGCTCTATCCTGTGTGAGCAAAAACAGAAGCTACTGTCTAAGACTCAGGTGTCACTTTTACTGTCCACCACAGGGACACATGACAGCCTTTACTGGAGAGCAGAGGCTAGCAGGTGACTTTAAAAAATATTTACTGCTCAGGAATCAGAGGCAGGCTGATCTCTGTGAATTCAAGGCCAGCCTGGTCTACAGAGCTAGTTCTAGGCTAGCCAGGGACTACACAGAGAAACCCTGTCTCGAAAAAGGAACAAACAAACAAAAAAAATATACCAAGGGATTACTGTAGGTCAGGTACTAATTAGCTTGAGAGTTGTTTAATTTTCAATTAGGCTGAACCATGGTAGCTGGACCTGGAGTCAGGCACCATTCTAAGGGTCAGCACAAACGTATTTGTATTAGAAGTGATTACTTTTCAATCAGTAGACTTAGACACAAACAAGATTCTCAATAATGGAGGTGCGTCTTGTCCAATCAGGTGACAGTCATAGAGACAAAGTCCCGGAAAGAAAAAGACACTCGCCCATCCAGGTTCCTTTAGATACAAAGAAGAAGTTGACTTTTGTGGGAATTTCT